GTTCTTGCGAGCAGCGGTAGTAACATGGAAAAAATAAATTAGTGAAGGTCCCCAACAATATTGCCGACCAGACTGACTGCAAGAGGCGAGAGAGATGCGAAGCCAAACTAAGTGGAAGCTCGGTATAACGAACTTCAAGGGACCGTGGCGATTTGTGCATTATTTTGGAAGGTGGTTATAGTGAAAGCCCAAAAATTAACCATAAATACTGGTACTTATTTTTCACCGACTAAACCGACTTAACTTTACAACAGTGATTCCTTGAACTCGTTTTTCACGATAAAAGATAAATGCACAAGTGAACACTGAAAAATGCACGTTTCCTTAAAGAAGTCTGCGATTTTTTTTTTTACTTGTGCAGCACAAACTTTGCAGCGCGAAGGCCTCCAGCTCATCCACATTCTCCACTTTCTTCTTAGGGAAAACTGCTTCCGCCTCATCGTCGCAAGAAGAGATGAACTCATTGCAGTAGCACCGCAGTAGCAGTAGCACCGTAACCCCGACTTGCTTTGCGGACGCGATAAGTAATCACCGAAATACGACTGACAAGACCTCCTCAGAGAACACTTATACCCCTTTGGCCTCCTAGATCACATGTAGAAGTGACAAAGATAAAAACCTAAAGCGTCGCAGCTTTCATCGCCTCTTTCAAAGAAAAGAAAAAGCTAAAAAAAAAGAAAATTCCTCGCGTTTCATTTTCTGCTCCCTCGCTGTTTCGGGTTTTTCCGAGCCCATGCTTCCCGCTCCGCAACTCCCACTTTGCCCTCTGCCTCGCTGACCTTGCCCTCCCGTGTTGCCCTCGCCCCTCATCTAGGTCCTTGTAACGCCTCGTCTACCTGCAGCGTCGGCGTTTCAATAAAAATAAAGAAAACGAAAGTCGTCCTTTTGTTTGTTTTTTTCCCCTCCTCACCGTTGCGCGTCTTCCAAGAAGCAAGGCGTTCATTCGATGAGTAGTCTGCTTGGGTACCGCTCCGGTGGTCGCGACGAATTTCAGAACATAAGTTCGTAGTACTGAGGCGTTAATATAACACGGAACTAAATTGGCACTCATTATTCTGAAAAGTACGGTATTCTGAAGTACATAGTAGTGAAATCATTTTACAATGAAACTATTAGCAGTCGTCGTGGGATTTTTTAAAAGTTCGTTAATCTAAAAAGTTTGTTAAAGTGGTGTTTATTCTACAGAAATTTTACTGTACTTAAAAGTGTTGTTGGTACAGGCTACACTTTCGCCAGACAGCGCAAAAATGAGGGGACAGAAACACAAAAAATACCGCTGTACTACCAACAAATGTGTTTATTTGAGCAAACATGAATGAATATGCTTCAACACATGCCAGGAAGGGGAGAAAGATTTGAGAAGGCGCATGCACCCTACCCTATACAGTGGACTCCCATTAAATGAAACTCGATTAAACGGAAAAGCCGCACAAACGAAACTATCTAGGCTTATTTGGTTGGTCTCCTATATATTTAGAGATAAAAATTTTCGGTTAATCGGAACACTTTTTTTGGCTTACATCGGTTAAATGAAACTAAAACGAGCGAAATCTATGAATAGCGGAAGTGGCAATGGCAGTCTAGCAACCATGAAGCAAATGACAAAGCTAGCCTAGCCAAGCCAATCCATTCATTGCACATGTCCGCGCTCGCCGAGCAACAATCGACGTCTCGTCGTTAACTTGAGGACAGCCTTGAGGAACATATAGCTGGAGTTCAAGATGAGGACTTGTGCTCAAGTGGTGATGAGATGGTGTGTGATTCTGAGCTCATTTCAGTGCCTGACAGTCCTGCAAGAGATGCTGTCATCCTGTTGCAGCGCTGCTTTGAACACGATGGTGGCACAGAGTTCCTGCCCAGCCTTTCAGCAATGCACTCCTACTGTGTGAGAAAGTGCTTGAACAAGGCCAAGCAAATTGTTATCACCTCCTTTTTTCATATTCAGCAATATGAGCAACTATTTTTCTTTCTAATCGACTACAGTAGTATTCTATACTTCAAAATGTTTTGTTCAGTCAGCCACAGTTGGTGTTTTTAAAACAAAGTCATATTTCACTCATTTTGTGGGCTTTGCTTAGATGAAACTTCTCATAAATGGAACAAATTTTCCTGCCCCTTCGAGTTTCGTTTAAGAGGAGTCCACTGTTGCATCTATTAATGGTGCGGTAGCTGATCGCCTTGTCTGTTAATGCTATCAAAAGTTCACTGACACATGCCGACCCCACTTTATGGATTTCGCAGTCCTCGTATATAATTCTCGAGCTCGAGAATCTCGATAGCTGCGAACAAAGCACATTCGCTGGAAAGAGGGTTTGAACCTGCACCTTGTGCAATGAATTGCCGATTTGCTGCCCATCTTCGTTCCAAGATTGGTGGCATGTTCTGGTAACCAATCATTAACGCACTAGCCTGTCTGACCGATGTACAAGCCTCCACAAGACGTCCATCTCATACACCACTCCTGTTTTGCAGGAAATGAAGCGACTTGCATATTCTTTCTGGCACGCCAGTTTTCGAAAACTTGCTGCGATCACTCGCTTGCAGAGGTAGCTCAGTTTTATACAGTCCGAGAGTGTAGACTTGGGAGTGGGTTCGTCGATCTATGCATATAATTAAGGTTTTTCATACATTATTTCTGTGGGAATTTCACCGGAACAAAACTGTTTCGTCGTAAAATGCAGGTCATCAAGAAACCAGGGGACATATAATCGAAGCTCTACTGTACGCTATTTATCGGTGGCAGTACACAGAGCTCAGAGGTGCTCCAGTATGTTGACTATCACTCACGTGATGGCAAGAAGCGCATGCCGAGGGCCAGTAAACATCCTCACGGCTCAAAATTTCGAATGGAGAAGTAACTGCGCACTTTCACAATCTGAACATGCTGCCGGGAGCACTTTGAAAATAGGTTCTGTAAAAAGAAATACAGCGCATAGAACGTCCCATGCTGGCTGCTTTTCTTTTCTCGCTCGTTCTCCCCACTCTTTTCTCGCAGCGAGGAGGATTAAGTGTGGCATTTCGTGGCTGTCAACGTAAGAAGACGTCAGCGATAACATCACCAGCATGCAGCCAATTGGGGCTTCCTCCAGGTCTGCACATGTCACAGCAGCATTGGGAGGAAGCTCGGTGCGAGGAGTATGAGGCACTGGTGAGGCATGGCACCCTTCCGCTAACTATGAAGTAACGAGATACCTCTTCATCTCAGAGGCATTCCTTCTGGCAATACCAATTGTCCCTGTAGTCTCGACACAACAAAACAGCAGCACAGAAAAATAAAAATGCAGACTGCGAAGCTGAAACTGCATCACCGTTAGGCCGAGGAACCGCTTCATTGTGCAAAGGACCAATCGACTGAGCTCAGTGGTGCGAAATGTTGCCCATGGGCAAGGTTTTGTCACTGCATGTACTAGGAGGAATGAACAGGTGTAGCAAAAAGGCTTTGAGGGGTGAAGCTCCTTATGATTGAGCCACGTCCGTCGTCCTTCAATAATGATGACGCTGATGACGAAGAACAAGCGCGTTCCAGACCATACATTTTTTCTGCCATCGATGGCACACCACATACAAGGCACCCACTATAAGCCATGACAATGATGACGACGCTGATGATAATGACGATTACAGACGATTGGCTTGTGCCGTATATGACGTCTTAATATGCTCTGCGATGCGCTTCGTATGACTGGAAACAACTAACAACCACCAAGAGAACATGCAGAGTACTCGTCTTTGCCAACTTCAGGCTACATCAGATTCCACAAAGCAGTAAGTAATAATGAAGGCAAAACTAAATTCACAACTCAACACAACATACCATTTATGACTAATAAACATTGAATATAAATGTACACCGCTTTGTCTCTCATTTACATGCACGAGTGATCAATGGCACGAATGATTTACGGCAACACCAACGATCCTACTGCTTCACCGACTTGCCTTCATCGACTTCGTGGATGTACCAAGATTTTTTTTACAAAATGAAGGGCCCATGCAGCGCTGTAATGTTCACAAAATGTGAATCATCGCACTCTACACTACGAATTCTAAAGCTTATTTGGGGGATTAAAAAAAAAGTCTGAGCCTGTTTACTGGCCCTTTAAAGCGACCGCTTGGCTCTTGCTTCGCCAGAGTTCTGGTGCACACTTGTCTCCTGCCTGTACTTTGACATACAGGGTGTGGTCACCCACACTCACGCCGCTATCTGGTGAGTGTGGGGGTTTGTAGGTCTTGCACTTTTATCGCAAAGGTTGTGTAGAAGCTTATAGACCCCAGGAAGCTCACTTCACTTGCTACAGCGACCACATTTATGAAAAGTGCGAGCTGCTAGCTAAAAGAGCTCAAGTAGGGGCAAGTTGATTGTGCAAAGTGGACTCAGGCGTGCTGCACAAACATAAAGAAATAACCGACTGTTTGTTTTTCTCATTCTGCTTAAACCTGGGCATTCTTTCCATTAGTCTTTTTTCGTGTCTGAGCAGAATGCTGCAAGTGTCGCAATGTGACCGTCGTAAGTTTGTGCTTGCCCTGAGTGTTTTTTTCACATGTATTTTGTGCCTGAGCAGTAGACTGCAAGCTTAGAGCAGCTTGCTGGCCTTTGTACGACATTCCAATTTGTTCGCTATAACTCATTTCATTGCCCTGGTGGTGAAATCGAGTTTTTTTTTCTTTTCGCATATTTGGCCAGCTGAGAGAGAACTCTGCATAGGAGTTGCGCCTTTCGCTAGGTGCTGTGGAGAAGAATGCTCATGACTCAGTCCGTTCTTAGCCAAGCATGGGCCTTGCGGTTATGTGCAGGACATGTCCACCATCGCAGTTGCACCACAATGCGTCTAGTGTAATGGCAGAACCGTCTTGCCTAATCAAAGTCTGATGCCATCAAACAGTGTGCACGCCTCGTCTACCAAGAGGATGAGTTTGAAATCCATGTTCTCAAACCGGTGAGAGTAAAATTAAGGAGCTTTTAGTGTATGACAATAAGCGTAAAATAAAAATAAGCGTACCTGACGAGAGCTTTCCAGGTCGCACTTGTTGCCAACCAGAACCATCGGCACAGACTCGGAACAGCGGACACGCTCAATCTGCTTTCTGCATTCGGCTGCTTCCTCTAAACTTCTACGGTCGGTGATGGCATAGCAGATGACAAAACCTTCTCCGCAGCGCATGTACTGGATCCCGCATGGCAGTGAATTCAATCTGCACACAAATATACAAACAGTTTAGCAAAGTAGCGATAGGACCACTGGATGTGGTTGTAAGAATGGCTTAGGAAAAATCAGCAGCTAACATGTCATGTTGTAGTCCTCAAGAGAAAAATGTAATGTATTCCCAATAGCAAACGCATGTGAGGAACGAAATTTTCAACAAATCTATGTTCTCACTTCATTTGTGAACATGCCCTCCAAATAAAAATTCCTGCTTGCAGTTGGTACTTCACCCTGTACAGTCACTAGCTTGATAGAAAGCATTATGCACGAATAGAGCACAAAATCGAATTTGTTGAGAAGCAAATGTCCCATGAAACTCTGCTGTTGAGTGTACACAACGCTACTGCTTCCCCAACAGTTTCGTTCAGAGAACCAGTACCAAGAAGTGGTAAAGGCAATAAAAGCAAAGAATCATCGACTTCAACACAACGAACATGTATGACACAAAAAGTTAGCATTTCCAAACAGGGCACATGTTTGGCATGGTGGGGTTTATTAGCAAGGGGATAGCCACAATTTGATTTTAGTGTGAAAGCTGTAACGAGATCACAACACAGGTCACATGAGCTGTAGCTGTCCGCCGACGCGCCACAGCTGTAACTATTATCAGGTGAAATAATAAAACAAAAAACAAGTAAATAATAAACAACAAGGACACAATAGGTTTTGAACCGGGGTCCCCTGGATGACGGCATAGTATTCCACTGCTGAGCCACGCCGGTGCTGGAAACTATTGCAAACTGGCCTTAGGCAGGCTTGATGTCGGGAAAGGAATTGCATTAATGTGAGCAATAAAGCGTTTTTAACAGCAAAGAAACAACCAGGCATCACACAATGCAAATTGTGAAACGAGTAGGTCATCGAATGCTCCAACCAATTACAAAAGCTTCAGGAATAATTCTGCATCTTCGTCAGCCACAGTATAAAAAAATTTCTCACGGTTTCTTGCAAGTATATCGCAGGTACCATACTTCTCTGAAAAATCACGAAGGATGGCGTAGTGAATGCCTCCCTACTATACAAGAATTATGACGATTTATGGCAAGTGGGTACCTGCAAGTGAGCTTGTAGCAGTTACCCAAAGAGTGTTTAACAAAGGCTCTGAAAGGCCACTCTTCCAGCTTTCGCTGCGAATGTGCGGTGCTTTCTGCGCAGGCCTGGCAGTATTTTTGGGGGAAGGGGGTCCCCAAATCATTCCACAACCCTTATGCATATGTGCGGGTAGGATACACACATACATTAATGTGACGTAATTTTGGAGGGGTGTTTTGAATTTAGATTTCAAAGTCCTATTTACTCTCACAGCGTTAATCATGCAGTTTGTAATTTCTTTACTGGACTGCAGTGTGTCTTATCTCCTTCAGTGACGGTGCATACAATGGTACACATAAACAACGAAGGCATGGCAGCTGTCTTAGCATGTTTTTTCAAGTGGTTTGAGATAATATGTGCACAAACTCGCTGAGTGGGAAAGAGGCGGTCATTTGACCATTTTACTGCGTATTACTGCCGAAGATCACTTTTATGGAGATACTACCATGTTTGACAACCGTTCGACGTGCCACGTTCGAAGACCTAATGTCAAGAATACTTTTTTCCTTATTCTAAGCTAAGGAGAGTCAAGAAAGAAACTGGGCATGCATTTTGAACCTACAATCTTATTCTATTTATGACAGAGTTGAAGCTGACAGATTGCAGAATAATTAATTGCATGCTAACATTGATTGCTCTACCCTGTTATGCAGAACACATACTGCCTCATTTGCTTTAGTGCGATGTAATATTAAATGCCTTAGAATTGAATAAGCCAAATTTTTAGACAGTCCGCAATTTGTTTCTTTAGTTCAGACCTGGAGTCTTCTCAAAATTCAAGGGGTTTGGCCAAATCTGCCGAGCATAATTGTGTGCAAACATACCAAAAAGTAAATAGGACTTGTGGGCATGCGGATTTGCAATTCTATTTTCACAGATAAGATTTTCAGATAGGATAGGAAATAAGATGTGCACTCTTACTTTCACAGGTTCGTAATAAATCAACAAGAAAGGGAGTTGATGTCAAACAAGAGTGTGCAAGCGAAACAGCGATCTGGTGATAACCAGATAGTGAGTGCCCTTGTCTGTTTTCTACACTTAGCCAGTTGTCGACAGTGCCATAACTCTAATTATTTTTTGTCGCTTAACTCCTTCCATATGGAGGGAAAGTGGAACTCACTGAGTTCTAGCTAGCTGAAAATGTGGGCTTTCTTAACTAGAGAAGACCAACATCAGTAAGTGTACCTGGCCAGCTGTGTCCAGAATGTCCAGTAGCGCCACTTCTCCATCAATGACCGTCTTCTGCTGGTAGGCATCCTCTGATTCAGAATAAGCACGCTGGTGTCAATATACATGGCATAGTGGACGAAGCAGGACGCTCAGAAAAAAAGGCCCTCCACTAATAGACATAACAGTATGTATCCCACATCTATTTAGATATGACACTAAACAGATAGCTTTAAATGGACAGGATTTTTGAATGGTAATAGTGTCATAACAGGGTATCTAAGCTTAGTGTACGAAACTGCCTTGGGTTGTAGCAACTGCACACGCCTTATGCTGTCCACTGTTTGGGTTAGTGTTCTGGCACCTGTTTCTTTTTAGGCAGCATGTGCACGGCCATCAAGGCTACTCCCGGAAGCTCCTTTGCATTGATCTTGTGAAGATCTGAGCACGATGCGCTTGCAATTATGAAGGACACACCATATTCTATAACATCTACGAGGCACTTAGCAGATTTAAAAGGCACAGAGTCTGAATGCTCCATTCTAAATCTCTGTGGTATTAGCTGTAACCAAGAAGGGTAGGGATATCACTAGGCAGAAATCTGATAACAGAACAAACATGCATAAATGGCCTCAGCTCGGCAACAATATAGTCTGACAACGCGAAGTGTCACTTGTGTTTTTCTTCAGACTGGCCTTATCTGCGAGATAACATGCAGTGCAAGTAAATAGCACCTCTCGTTCCTGGTATTTCATTTTTTTTTTTAGTTCTCGGAGTTTCTTTTTTGTTTCTGCTCTTGATATGTGGCATAAGGCTTTTTTTTTTTTCCAGACAAATGGCGAGAAATGAATCAGTGAACTGGTCTTCAATTTTTCGCAGTGCACAATCACAATAAAGTGGTAAGTTGTGCCATTTGTTAGTGTGTGTGCCAACAATTATGCGACGTATGATATATTAGTCAAACACAGTTATGCTCATCAATTTTGTCTTGTCATAGGCTTGGTATGATGTGCGATACATTCGCGGCGTTGAAGGTTTTTCCCTAGCTGTTATACTTTAGATTGCTGCAGAGCAAATCAGTATCGGCAAAAGCTGATTTGTAGGAAGAGAAAAAAAAAAAACTTTACCAATGGTTGGGTCGTGGTACTCCAAGAAGCTGTGAGTCACGAACTGCAGCGTCAGAGCTGTAAGCGGAGAGAAGACATGGAAACTTGAGCACGCAATACAAACAGGTCGTCCGTTGAACGCTGCGGTGTCCGAGGAAATGCTTCGAAAGAAAGTGCAAGACAAAAAAAAAAAAAAGAGTGCTACCGACGCCACAGGAAAACGAGGCAATCGCGCGTCATAGCGTAGGCGCGAGCGGTGGCAGGTAAAGAGTATCGTTGAGTCACGCGCGCCCGATAGAGCGCGACGTTACATGCGTAGTAGACGAGATGCTTAAACGGGACCCACCGCTTTTTCCCACGCCTCCATCGCCGAGAACGACGATCTTGTAAACGCGGACGCCGCCCTTCTGGTTGGACGAATGGCCAGAACTTCGATTCGTCGTCTGCACCATCTGCGAGCGCCGAGGCGATGCTGTCTCAGCTGTTCAGAAAGTTTCCTACGGCCCTTACGAAGGGGCCGTCCTTGCGCGGTAACCGAAGGCTACCGCGCTTGGAAACGAGGAAAAAGAAAAGAAGGCAGGCCTCACCTTCGGTAGACGAAGACCGGTCTATTCACGTGAATAACAGCGTTGCCGAGGCGAGCCGAGGAGAACGCCCAATGGTTCGGCGCTCCACTGCCGGAGTCGTCGCAAGTCAGCGCTGTCGAAGTAAACACCCGCAGTAAGCCTAGCGCAACTCCTACGGGTCGCGTAGGCGATCGTTGGGAATGGCGGCAGCCACAGAAAGTGACCCGATAACGTGTCCCTCCTAAGACAAGAGGAACGCCGGAGATACCGGTATTAAGATAGATAAGAACGCAGCGCACAGGCCGTAAATGCGATTACATATTTGAGCCCTGGCCGCGCGAACGAACAGCTGAGAAACGACTTGCTGGGAATTCCCCTCAAATCCGGTGGCGCTGTTGTCTTTTTAGTCCGCGTGGTGCCGCTAGCAAGCATATCAACAGTGTTGGCAACGTACTTACGGTATTCGCGAAAAATAGTGGTACTTGCAACTTGCGAGAGCATGACCTCCAAGACCTGTATTTGTATTTTCGAAGCACTGCACGGACGAAGTCCGCTCCTTGGGGCGACCGACCAGATAACGTTACATAGCCGGAGAGCAGACCCGAGAGGCAATCCATGCTGGCGGAGTCTTGCAGCACCGCTATTACGGTTTCCCGCACACCGGTCACATCCCGTTGCTGGGGTTCAGCCGCGGTCACGGAGCGGTGATGCGGAGCGTGTTCGGCCCAAGGAGGTAGGAAGGAAAAAAGGAAGAGCCTGGAATCTGCCACACACCCATACTAGGGGACTGGCTAAGAACTGGGCGGTTCTAACGAAATACTGTTAATTCGTTATTTAAATTTGGCCACAGTCGATGGTGATGATGATGGTTTTGATGATGGCCTGTTTAAATGATTCACACCCACCCTGGGGGATTGGCTAAGAAATCGCTCTCGCCCGGTAGCTTTTCCCCTCTCTCTCTTTTTGTGGTTGAGGCATTGCGCCTCGAGGCACCGTCAGCTGAAATGTTTCCGTCGGAGCTTATTTTTGTATTTTATGCGACGTTATCTGGACGCCTGCGAACTCCCTTTCCACGTTCCCGCGGCGGTGCCCCCAGTTCTAACTGAAATTTCACATCCTAAATATTTCTTCCTCCTTGTGGAGCACTGATGTAGGTGTGCGTGCTCTGAAGTTGTTTGTTGGCTTGATTCAGTGAAACGTCGATCGATGTCACAATTGTTCTTAGCCGCATCAAAAGCGTCACTCAAGAGCTCGAGCGCGAATCCCCGCCACGTGCTTACTTGAATCAAATCTCGAAGGAGAAATATGCGGAAGATACGTTGCTACGTATATTTCGACATGCGAAAGAATGGTTCTGACAAGCGACGATTAAGCGACTGTCGCCATTCTCAAGATTTCATCAGGGTACGTACCTAGTTATAGAAAAATGCAAGTCACCCGGTGTGGCTATGTTACTGTACGTGCTTTCCTAATTAATAAACTTATTTTATCGAAGCCCCCAAACTACAGCTTGTCTCATAACCACATCTTGATTTTGGGGCGTTAAACCTAAGATATTGTCACATTATTTTATTGTCGATTCGCCATTCACTCTTTCACCTTTAATTAACTGATGATTGATTTGTGGGGTTTAACGTCCCAAAACCACCATATGATTATGAGAGACGCCGTAGTGGAGGGCCCCGCAAATTTTGACCACCTGGGGTTCTTTAACGTGCACCCAAATCTGAGCACACGGGCCTCGTCATTTCCGCCTCCATCGGAAATGCAGCTGCCGTAGCCGGGATTTGAACCCGCGACCTGCGGGTCAGCAGCCGAGTACCTTAGCGACTAGACCACCACGGCGGGGAACCTTTAATTAACTGCTTCAGAATAGTTTGATTTACTGACTACTCGTTGTTTTCGCCTAAACTGAATTACTAATACACGCAAAAAAACTATATTTGTGCAAACCAGTAGTTTCATCTTTTTCGAAAGTAAGAAAAGGCGGGTGCATGGGCGTCCGGAAGTGTTACTACGGAGGAGGGGGGTCCCTCCCCTCCTTTATTTCAGATATTTTTTCTGTGCCGTAGCAATGAGCTACACAAGTTGATTAACACGACGGTCTTCGGATATTGCCAGCTAATTTTGCATGCCCCAAGTCACGGATATTGTCGGTCACGTCATGGCAGTGAAAAGCTGCCGGCGTTGGATGCCCCTCCCTGACGCATGCGGATTCACTCCGACGCAAGAAGTTCTGTGGACGCCTTTTGCAGGGCTGTATCTCAACTTGCTGCAAGAGTGTTACAACCACATAAACTTTTTAAAGTAAATATCAGTATTGTTCAGAAATTTAACACCTAGTATATAACGCGCAGTAATATTCGAACTATGTCTGTGCTGGCTTATATTCGGCTCTTCGGGTGTTTGCTTATTTTTTGTCTGCATTGCTCGAGTAGATCATTTTCACATACTTGTTTGCTTGTTGCCGCCACTAGATAGGCTGGACACCGCCAACTTCCGCCATGTTGTTAAAATCTTGCAATGATCAACTCTGATTGGCCCAGAGGGCTGGTGAGGCCTCTATGATTAGCTAGAAATTCAACCATTAAAGCGGGCATAATTCGACATTGCGCTCATGAGCACTCATGGCTCTGTAAGAGTTGAACCGCTTAATAAGAGGCATGCTCCAGGTAGCAATGTTTGTCTTTTATATGAGATGTCTTAATATAATAAGCAGGGTACCTCGCATGCATTTCTTATCAACCCGTGTTTTGCTGTATACGCACACTGGTGTCTCTTACACCCATTAAAATCCAAATCTTGATGGGAGCCGACAGATGGAAACGACGTAGTGGGATAATCATAAGATGAGCAGGTGAAGTCCCAGAGACACGCACCACCACCATGAGATGACGTCACCACTAACCCCTTTAAAACTAACACGCCAAGGATAACCCGGTGCCTTTGAAAAAGATAGGTCCTCCTATCGAAACGTCGGCCAGCCAGTCTGAGGCACTTCACCTGTTCATCTTATGATTATCCCATTACACCCATTAAGCATTTTATATCAGTGTCCCTTATAAAGGGGTTCGACTGCATGCTCTTTGTCTTGTCTTGTCACTTAGGATATCTTGGTTCATACCCACAAGGGGGATTGGCCACACTGTACCCTATAATAGATATTTTTTTGTACAACGCTTGCTAAAAAAAAAGAGAGAAATTAGATAAAAACAATAATAATGTTCCTTGATGAAAACGTGAAAAAAGTGCAGAAGAATTAGATGAACCAGATTATATAAAACCAATTAACAAGAATGAGGAAGGGGGACAAAGAATTGGATATATCTGGCAATACCTCGGCCTTCTTTGACTACTTCGTTTTTAAGATGTTCATCATCTTTTTCTATTAGCTTTCAAAACTTACGCGTTAGCTAGTATATTTTAAAGCATCCGAAAACGTGTGTAATGTCTTATTTGACACGTGTCGTTTTCTGACATCGATAATAAGTCATCACGAGGTTACGAATCATCAGCAACACATCCCTGCAGCTATCTTAACCCGGGGCTAACAGAGCCAGATGATCCGCATTAGAATTTAGACCGCCCTGCTCGCTGGAAGACTCACAGCCCTTCTTCGGGTGCGACGTCGTCACTGTGACGAATACGACAGTTCCATGCCGGTCGACAGCTGCCAGGTACGTATACGCCGACCCGGGTGACAGGTCCGTCAATTCTTACGTGACGAAGCTCGTGAATTTTTAGGTTTTCCTGTAGTTGTGCGACGCGAATCCGTAAAAGGTGATAGGCCTAGATTCAGGCAGTAATAGGTCGTGAGACGGTTGTATGATTCAAATGGTGGAACGAGATGGGATGGGAACACTTCACCTACTGGAATGTGTGGTTCGGTTGAAAGTTCGCTTCGGGAGAATTCTTAAGCCCGATAAGTGCGGCTTTATGCAGACTTAGGTACATTTTCAATTTTTATTAGAGAAAGGACAGGTGAAGCACGGACAAGCTACGAAAAGTTACGGACAAGCTATATTGTTAACGGCTGAGCGTGCAGAGTCACTGCTCTGGCAATGCGGTGTTTGGATTGGGACTTAGGCACACCGTAGACTGTCGTTAACATAATTACAGAAGCGATACAATCGTTTAGGTACACATGCCGGGAGGGTGTACTGCATGTGTACCCGAGATGGGTGTACGGGCTTGGAAGGGGCAGCGCCTCGCGCCCTTTCCAGTTTTCACCACCCCCATCACTCGCCCTATCGGCGCCAAGTATTAGGAAAAACAAACGTATATATGCGCTACGCACGTCATTGTTCTGAGTCATATGAGGCGCGTCACGATGTTCTTTGTTTTTTGGATTTACCAAGCTATGCGATTAACAAAATAGCTTAACCTTAAATTAATAACTCTACCAAAAAGTCTGTAAAACGTTGTACGCTTGTTCAAAAACGTCGTATTACTTCATCATTGCTAAGACAGCTGCCCTGCCAACTTTCTTTCCAGTCTTTCTTTAGAGCGCGCGAAATTCATAAAAGTACTCGGAGCAACCCAACTGGGACATGCTATAAATACATGCTTTCTTCTGTCTCAATAAAGAAATTCTGGGTACGCATAGACACGCCAAGTAACGCATTCTCGAGACACCATACATTGAAGCTACCTTTGCCTGTGCAGTTTGCACATGAACTACCGCCATCCCTGGCATTAACAAGTCTCGATGAAAACGCTATCAAGGTACCTTATGGAATCGCGTAAAACAACCAAAGTAAAAGCCATCTAGGCACTTTATTTATTTATTTTTAGCGAAGCTCCTCAGGCCCGCACTCCGCAGCAGCAGCTTCTCGCCAGCATCACCGCTTGTACCCATCTCCCACCTGTCTCCCTTTCCCTCTTTCTTCGTCTGTCCCCTAAAACTGGCGAAAGCGTCGCCTGGACTGGCTCGCACTGCACTCTCCTCCACCTTCATGAAAGCGTCCCATTTGCGTCCCATTTTTTCGCTCATCGGTTGTATTCGTACAGAGAACAACTGCTAGTTTTTTTTTTTTCTCGGTCTATCTCGATTGATCCCAGCTGGTCCATATGAAAGCTTTCTGCGCCTAACGCGGTTTTTCACTGCCTCCGTGGGCGGCCCAGCTTTGACCGAGCGACGTCGTGTGATGGCGTCATCACGTGACATTTTATATGACGTCATGATGATGTCACTGAATTCGGTGGCCCGTGGTGTCATCACATGATGATTTTCTTTTGCACCGCTTTGCAGACGCCACCGTCGCTGACGATCACTTTTCGCGTTTGAAGAGGCATCTAGAGCTGTCGCGCTTTTTTTTCCCTTTTTTTATTAATGGCACGCACACAACACACTATACTGTTCGGACCCGTAGCCTGGGCCGCTACTTCTGGTTCCATACCGAATTGACATAAGAAGGAAGAGCTTACTTACGATGCGAGACAACTTAAACACGCGTCTGATAACGCGTGTTTCTTTAATGGGGATACTTTAATGGGGAAAATATAGGAGAGACAACGCGAAATTGATACAAAAAGATCAGTGTGGTTGTTGTCCAATACACCTCATAAATAGTCGGTATTAAATCATTTTTACAAGGAAAAAATAAATATAAGGATAAATAAAATATTAAAAAAAGTAGACTAACGTCCGCTCTCTCTCTTTCTACGCAGGACCGTGGTGACGGTGATGGTGACCACCGCGAGTCCCTGTCTTCCTTGTCTTCCCGGCTGAGGACCAAGGCGTTGATCTGCCTGCTCGTGCCCTTCTGCATGGTGCTCGTCATCACTGTCGTCATCGGCGCTCTCATGTCCATGACGACCCGATGAAAGACTCGGCAACGAGACCTCGCCGCGTGGCTCCTTCCGAGGGAAACGACCAGATGCGACGCGATCTTGTCGACTTTCACGGGACTTCGTCGACTCTGTGAGAAACATGGCGGTGCACACGCGGGGTCGGGACGTTCGCGGAGAGGGTGGACGACTCGTTGTGAAGTCGTGTCAGTCAGGTGATTCCGCCAGGTGCCTCATCATGCTGACCGACCGCAGGAGTTCTTGTCGACCCGACCAGACGATCCGGGACAGTTGGTAAAAGGGGCGTGAGTGTCAGCTAGCGAACGACGAGAATAGAATTCCATGAGCCCTTCTGCCTGTGTCGTTGCTGCACGGTGTTGGTAGCCTATTGCAACGCACATATTCACGCATAATCCCCTTTTCAGATTTGTTCGCAAATACTGGAATGGCTTATTTGTCTAACGCTTCGGAACTTGCGTAATCACCATAGTTCTCGAATCAATCACAGCTCCAATAAAAATATGCCACGTAGACATATCGTTGTTGCACGCAAGCACCAAGATTTGTTTGTAAGTTGTAAAGTAGCATCTGGGGTGGTGACAAGGAGAGTACAAAGTGAGGGCGCCCCCCCCCCACCTCTTACTTGAGAGCAAACGAAGAAAACATAAAAGTTTCTTGCCCTACCCACCCCTAAAAATATCCTGGCTTTGCCTATGTGAATTGTGTACTTAAAGCACCAAGTTGTGGGTATAGGGCAGTCCCGCCGTGGTGGTCTAGTATCCATGGTACTCGGCTGCATGACCCGCAGGTCGTGGGATTGAATCCCTGATGCGGCGGCTGCATTTTAGATGGAGGCGAAAACGCTGTAGGCCCGTGTGCTCAGATTTGGGTGAGCGTTAAAGATCCCCCAGGTGATCGAAATTTCCATAGCGCTCCACTACGGCGTCTCTCGTAATCATATGGTGGTTTCGGGACGTTAAACTCCACATATCAACTGGTAAAGGGCATATGCCCGTAGTTGTTCTGACAGCCGTTACATGTGTGCTCTGAGCGTCCTCTAGGCTATCGATACCCGCAGCGATATTTCAGCTATTGCATATATATATATATATATATATATATATAGATTGTGAAGAAGAAGATGTGCCTGCAGCGAGCAGCATCGCCAACGCCCGGCTCTCTCGGCTCGTGCTTCGGTTCGTTGCTGCGCCGATCGCTGGACGGTTCTTCACGCTGTCTCGTCGCTGCCTTTAACGGCTAATAAACCTCTTCACATTTGGTGGAGGTGCTGTTAATCCCCGTTGCTACACCCTGGAGCGTTTGTGGTTTGTGGAGCGTTTGTGGTTGTGTTTGTGGTTATTAAACCACAATTCGGCGTCGCCGAATTGTGGTTTAATAACCACAAACACAACATACCCACATGGAGCGTCTTCAAGACGTCATGTGCTGAAGTGTTCGGTCGGCCGGCTGTCCGCAAGCAGAGGGCAGAACAGCGCTTGCGCGCCCGCTCTCAGCAGACTGGCGAGACCTTTACCAGCTATATTGAGGACGTCGTCGACCTTTGTCGACGTGTGAATGACACCATGCCCGAATCTGACAAGGTCAAAAACATCCTGAAGGGCATTGACGACGGCGCATTTCAAATGCTCTTGGCAAGAAATCCGAGCACAGTTTCCGAAGTCGTCAGCTTGTGTCAGAGCTACGACGAGTTAAAGAAACAACGCACTCTGACTCGGCAGCCTCAGCATGGTGGTGAGTCACTGTCCAGTTTCGACACCCTGCCGGACAATTCACCGCTGCTTCAGCAAGTTCGAGCCTTCGTCCGTGAGGAAGTCGCCCGCCAACTTTCCCTAGTGCCCTTCACTCACGAGACCACCACCCGTCTACCTGCCCCGCTTCGCACTGCTATTTCGGAAGAGGTTGCCCAAGCTGTTCCTGTTGCGCACCACGAGACGCCTCTATCCAGCCTTGCCCACTGCCAGCGTGCCGCGCAGCCGGTAGGCCCTCCTGTCGCCTATCCGCCAGCCGTGCAGCCTGTGGCCGCGCCCCTAACGTATGCAGCGCAGCCTGTGGCTCCTCCTGTCGCCTGCTCGCAAGTGATGCAGCCTGTAGCAGCGCCGTTCACATATGCAGACGCTGTGCGTAGGCTTCCGCAACCACCCTACACCACGCGCTCACAGCCCGCGCACCCGGCTGCTTATACTACACCTTGGGCGGCAGCACCAGTCGCCAATCCCTGGAGGACGCCCGATAACCGACCGATTTGCTACGCCTGCTTCACTCCCGGACACGTTGCTCGCTACTGCCGCCGTCGACCTCAGGCGTTCGGCGACTATGTCCGATCGTCGCAAACCGTCAGCCAACCCTTCGCGCAATACGGGCCGGTCTCGTCACCTCGCTATGCCCATCCTAACGACCCCGACTTCGTGACGCCGCGTGCACCCTCTCCTCGTCGGCGATCGCCCTCCCCCATGCGTCGCCGGCCCAGACCTGACCAGGAAAACTAAGCACCGCAGTTCAAGAGGCAAGAACTGCGCCATTTTCGAACTGTCTAAGCCCTCGCCCCTCTCCTGCTAACGTGGTCGCAGTAACTGTTGAAGGTTATTCTACTTTCGCCCTTGTAGACACCGGCGCCGCTGTTTCTGTTATTGCCGCTAATGTCTGCCGTGTATTACGTAAAGTAACGACGCCGCTTTCGGGACTGTCGCTTCACACCGCAAGCGCACAGCAAGTAACGCCTCTCGCAGCCTGCACTGCAAGAGTCTCCATCGAAGGCATTCTTTACATCGTGGAGTTTATTGTTCTTCCTGTCTGTTCGCATGACGTCATCCTCGGGTGGGACTTCCTATCCCGCCATAATGCCGTCATAGACTGCGCACGCGCCGAAGTTGAGTTTTCACCCTTGTGTGATGTCCCATTACTGGACGCTCCTCATCAACCGCCGAAGTTGCTCGTTCATGAAGATACCGATATTCCGCCTGGAAATTTCGCCCTTGTTCCCGTTTCATGCAACGCCTACACTGACGCTACAGTTCTTTTATGCCTTCCGATATCTTCAAATGTCGTCGAGCTTTGCCGCTGCCTTTCGCAACAATTGACCTTGCCGCCGGAAGAAGCAACATGTTCGTAAGCAATCCGCTTTCCACACCTGTTACATTGCTTGCGGGGGAATGTCTCGGCCGCGTGCAGGATCTCGACCCTTCGTTTTTGTTTGATGTCCCGGACGACTACTGCGACCACCCAAAAGCACTGTCGGCACTCGGGGAGTCGTCCAATGATATGTTTTCCAGCGCCATCGCCGACACTCTCACTCCCACCGAACATGCCGACCTGCTGGATCTTCTGCATGAGTTCAGGAGTTCTTTCGATGTGTCGCAACCTCAACTGGGCCGCACATCACAAGTCAAACATCATGTTGACACCGGCCTACACCAACCACTGCGTCAAAGACCATACCGTGTCTCCGCTGAAGAGCGCCGCGTCATCAACAATCAAGTCGAAGATATGCTTCGTAGAGACGTCATTCGACCATCTCACAGTCCCTGGGCGTCTCCCGTCGTCCTGGTGCGTAAGAAAGACGGATCTATCCGATTTTGCGTGGACTATCGTCGTTTGAATAAGATAACCCGCAAGGACGTCTATCCTTTGCCGCGCATTGATGACGCCATTGATACCCTTCACGGAGCGGAATTTTTCTCGTCGCTAGATTTGCGGTCTGGCTACTGGCAGGTCCCAATGGCAGAAGCCGATCGCCAAAAAACGGCATTTATTACACCAGACGGACTATATGAATTTAACGTCATGCCCTTTGGGCTTTGTAACGCGCCTGCCACGTTTGAACGTCTTATGGATAATACGCTACGTGGCCTCAAATGGAATATGTGCCTCTGTTACCTCGACGATGTCGTGGTTTTCTCCCATGACTTTCCTACGCACCTCCTTCGCCTCAGGCACGTTTTGAATTGTCTGACCAACGCTGGTCTGCAGCTTAACCTGAAAAAATGCCGCTTCGCTGCACGCGAGCTCGTCATCCTAGGCCACATCGTGTCCAAGCACGGCGTATTACCAGACCCAGCAAAACTTCGAGCAGTCGCAGAATTTCCCAAGCCGACGACCATGAAAGAACTTCGCAGTTTTGTAGGCCTATGTTCCTATTTCCGGCGCTTTGTTCGCAATTTTGCATCTATCATGTCACCGTTAACCCAGCTTCTTCGCGGTGACGTGAACCTCACCTCCTGGTCCCCTGCGTGTGACGTTGCCTTCACTACTCTGCGCCGTCTGCTCACTTCCCCACCTATTCTTCGCCACTTCGACCCGACGGCTCCTACCGAAGTGCACGCCGACGCCAGTGGCGTCGGGCTAGGCGCGGTCCTCGCTCAACGAAAGCCCGGCTATTCAGAATACGTTGTAGCCTACGCTAGCCGCACTCTGACGAAAGCCGAAACTAATTACAGCGTGACAGAAAAAGAGTGTTTGGCCCTGGTGTGGGCGCTTGGAAAGTTCCGGCCGTACTTATACGGCCGCCCGTTCGATCTAGTAACTGATCACCACGCGCTTTGCTGGCTCTCCACGTTGAAAGACCCTTCTGGCCGCCTTGCGCGATGGGCACTCCGCATCCAGGAGTACGACATTCGCGTCGTATACCGCTGCGGACGCAAACACTCTGACGCTGATGCCCTGTCCCGCTCACCTTTACCACCAGATCAGACGTGCGGAAACACTTGCCTCCAGACCTTGTCATCGCTGGATCTCGACTCGATTGCCACCGAACAACGTCGTGACCCGTGGATCGCCTCTCTTATCGAATATTTATCTGGCACGCCCAACCTTCCAGTATCTCGATCCCTCCGACGTCAAGCTTTCCATTTCGCCATCCGCGATCAACTTCTTCATCGACGCAACTACGCTCCCGACGGCCGCCGTTGGTTGCTGGTCATTCCACGCACTTTACGATCGCAAGTATGCGCATCCCTTCACGACGATCCGCAATGTGGCCACGCCGGAGTGTTCAAAACATATGAACGCCTTCGCCATCGCTATTACTGGCGCGGCATGTACAATTTTGTACGTAAATTCGTGCAGTGCTGTCCTGACTGCCAGCGACGTAAATCAACACTGCCACGTGCAACTGGCGCATTGCAGCCACTTCCATGCCCTGCCAAGCCATTTGATCGCGTCGGCGTTGACCTCTACGGTCCCCTTCCATTGACACCAGATGGTAATCGGTGGATTATAGTGGCGGTTGACCACCTGACACGCTACGCCGAAACAGCCGCTTTGCCGAGCGCTACAGCTCAGGATGTTGCCTCTTTCATTTTGCAACGCTTTATCCTTCGACATGGTGCACCTCGAGAGCTCCTTAGTGACAGAGGCCGCGCTTTCCTTTCCGAGGTCGTCGAAACTCTGCTTTCGGAATGCCACGTCATTCATCGGAAAACGACAGCATACCACCCGCAGACTAACGGACTAACGGAACGGTTCAACCGCACGCTAGGTGATATGCTCTCAATGTACGTGGCATCTGATCATAGCA